TACCAGACTTCAATGACTTCTACAGGGACAGCTGGTCTATCTTCATCTATTCACAAGCTAATAATAATCTCTGCTTACCTGAGCTCGTAGGCTTTTTGGCACCTGTTCATTTTGGTCAGATCTATGTGGACAGACTAACTTGGGTACTTTGTCTCAGGTGTTCTATGGTCACTTCCTCTGCCCCCATCTGCTACAGTAATGGCAACTTGTGGGTCCAGAAACAGGACAATCTGGGTCCAGCACGGTGGCTCACACCTGTAATCCTAGGACTCTGGGAGGCTGAAGCAGGAGAACCACTTGAGCTTAGGAGTTCAAGACCAGCCTGAGCAAGAGTGAGACCCTCTCTCTACTAAAAATAGAAAAAAAACATTAGCCAGGCGTTGTAGCACGCACCTATAGTCCCAGCTACTCGAAAGGCTGTGACAGGAGGATCACTTGAGCCCAGGAGTTTGAGGTTGCAGTGAGATACAATGATGCTTCCGCACTCTACCCGGGGCAACAGAGCAAGACTCTGTCTCAAAAAAATAAAATAAAATAAAAAACAAAATACTAGGTAACAGTACCACAGTAGATGGGAATAATTAGTGGCCGTTAATTCTAAGATCTCAGTATTATTCAGGAGATGGGTGGGAGTACTAATTAACTTTATAAATCTTTACAAAGTCAATTATGCATGCTAAAAAGGTAATAGTATTACCAAAGAATTCTAGCTAACAAAAGTGGCAGGAATGACAGAATCATGAAGTCACCATTTTGTAACCCCCAAAAAATAACATTTAGGCAAAGATCAATGGATGAAATCTTCTAGCTAAAAAGCTGATGGGAAACTTTACAGCGAGAAGGAACACACCCTCAGCACCTGAACCCACGAAGTGTGAATTAAATGTGCTATTACCAGAGAGGACTCACCTCCTGAAGTACAGAGCATCCCCTACAAGAAAACCTTGAAAAAAGAAAAAGGTTAACCTGAATTTAAAAGCACACCTTTAGAGCTATCTTTCCATTTACAAGAAATACTGGAAACAGAAGAATAAGTTAAATAACATAACATAAAGAGATAAATCCAGAAGATGTCCAACAGGAATCCATAAACGAATTATAAGAGGTAACAGAAGATATTAGTAAGGTTGTTGAATACAAGATCAATAATCAAAAATCAACTGCATTCCTATTCCAATATGCTAATCAGAATGTGAAATTTTTTATAAAGATCCTATTCTGAGTAGCTATAAAAATAAGGTATCCAGGATAAATCTGACAAAAGATATGTAAGACCTTTATAAAGAAAAGCGTAAAACTTTACAAAAAAACAATAAGAGAATTATGTCAGTGGAAAGTCTATGTTCATTCATAGAATCCAACCAGTATGATGTCATTTTCCTCCCAAATTAATCTTTAAATGGTTGTTATCCTCTATGCTTCCAGGGCTTGAAATATTTCAAAAATTAAAAGTAGCCAAATGTATGGCCGGGCACGGTGGCTCACGCCTGTAATCCTAGCTCTCTGGGAGGCCGAGGCGGGCGGATTGTTTGAGCTCAGGAGTTCAAGACCAGTCTGAGCAAGAGCAAGACCCCGTCTCTACCAAAAATAGAAAGAAATTAATTGGACAGCTAAAAATATATAGAAAAAATTAGCCGGGCATGGTGGCACATGCCTGTAGTCCCAGCTACCAGGGAGGCTGAGGCAGGAGGATCGCTTGAGCCCAGGAGTTTGAGGTTGCTGTGAGCTAGGCTGACGCCATGGCACTCTAGCCCGGGCAACAGAGTGACACTCTGTCTCAAAAAAAAAAAAAAAGTAGCCAAATGTAAAAATGTTGGAGGAAAGACAATACTTCCCACCTTTTATCACCCCAATTTGCTATGATACATATTACTATACTGTTAGAATTATAATGCAGCCACAAATTTACCAGTGGTGGAATTGCCCTACCCAGACTTCCTGTTAAGTAAGTTTTCCTTACTGTTTAAGACACAGCTAATGTAGGTCTTCTGCTCCTTACAGCATATTGCACATTGATACAATGCTCTTTATCAAAATAAAACACAAAACCCTGAAGAATGTACAAATTCCAATGAGTTCTTGATGACTATAAAGACTTTGTTATTCTCACAGGCTGGAGGCAGGAATTTTGCAAACTATACAAATAGCTGTAGCTTTACAAGAACCACCCTAGTTTTGCTTCATGCTTTCCTAATCATTGAACAGTCTGTTAGAGAATATGTCTATTTTGTTTTTAGCATTATTAGCCACATCTAGAAATGTGGTGGAGAGTCTAAACTTGCTTCTTTGGAAGTATTTAAAAGCGTTCACAGTCTGTAACATTCTTTTATAACGCTTCACATGTGACTCCCTAAAAATGTTTAAATGTGTATTCTAACTTTCCAACGAGCAGGACAGCTCATGGATAGGAAATGGATTTGTTTCTTTTCTGGCCTGGGTAGAGTCATACTTGGGTAGATCCACAGTCTAAAATTCTATATAGGTACTCGACGAGCATATAGAGTCAACTCCCAAAACTATAGAGAAAGCTTTCATCTAAACATCATGCTTCTGTAATAAACAATGACAAAGGTAGAACATTTTAATTAAATGGATTTATTTAAAAAGAAGACTACAAAATTTGACATTAAGAGAGATCAAAAAAGACTCACAGGATTTAAATTGACAAATAGAAAAATGATTGGCTATAAACAATGTAAAAATACATTTCCCAGTACTCAAACAGAACATAAGTACAGTAATTATAAAATTTTTGTACTGTAAATGCATTTCCCTTAACCATTCTAAACAATTTATTTGTATAAAATGTAACAAATTAAATTTACCATAGCTATTAATAAAAAATTATTTTAAGTTTGAGTTTATTGAATTTACCCTTTTCTGTATGTAATAGTGGTTTCTGGTCCCAAGTTCTCCTTGAACTTATTTATAACGGTCTTTTTACTCTCTTATTTCCTTCTATAATAGAAGAGAGAGGCTAACCGTTCATGGGTTTCATAAAAAACCAATGTGAAGGAAGGTTCCAAGAGTGACCCAAAATACCAGTGAACGTATCTTTCTGAAAAGGAAAGAATTCAGTGGCCAACTAAGAGACCCATTTCTGCACCAATGAAACAAATGGAGGTGAAATCTCAGAACAAGCAGAGCTGAAGCTCAATGCCAACATGCTACATATGTGAGGCCAGCTGAGAATATGTCTCTCAATCTTGATTACACCCAGTGCATGGGTGGTGACTCTGAGGTAGCCCAGATGATTTGCTATGAATCTAGATGGGTATAGATGACACTTCAAATGACAATGGTACAGTCTGATATGAAACTCTACAATAATCTGCTTACCATAAACTGGTTGTCTGAATCAGTCTTTATTCTTAAACCCAAGACCCTCCTATTTCTCCTCTCTTAGATGATACACCCAATAAAAACAGCATCCATGATTGGTTTCATTATCTCCCAAATAGATAGTGATGACATCATCACTAACACTAGCATCCAAACTCTGATATAAATAGGTAAGGTACTCCGTCAGTGAGACAGAGTCGAAGCTATGTCTGGCCATACTGACCAATTCCTGAGAACCACATTAGCCACGTTCATGCAACTGAAACCCATTTACAGCACATAAACGGCAGATGAGAAACTAAAAAGGATGGGGTCATTAAACTGTATCACTGGAAACATGATTCCACTGTTTCAGATAGAAAACCTATCCCAGGAGACTTCCACCAAAGTACAAAAGGACCTTGACATATGGGCTTATCACCTTAACACTAGAGACTCGGGTCATAACTCTAGCAGAAGGGCAATAACGGTCTAGTCTGTGAACCACTCTGACAGAAAGGTCCTATTTCAAGTGCTGTATCTGTCTGGCTCTAAAACGGCTGCCAGCAACAGACTATTCTTCCAAATTATCAGAACTGCTTATAAAGTAACTCTGGAGAATGGTCTGATTACTCCCTTATACCACCAACAGCATTAATCTGGGCAGAGTTCTCTGGATATTCATTTTCTTAAGACAGTCTCCTCCAAAGAGAAAGGAGAGCAGTGCCTATGTGGAAACAGAACCTTAAAGATCCTGCTACACACCCGTCGCAATTAAGGGCCCAAGATTCTGGACCACCTAAAGACAACTAACAAGACAGACTCGTAGCCAGGGGCCCAGCTCTGCCAGATGATGAAGCTGCACATGGCTCCATTTCTGTCTGATAAGGAGACAGAAAAGGGAATATCTTGAATAGATGAAAAATGAAAGGCTGGGGTTCTAAAAAGACGACTGGCTCCAAAGAAAACACTAAAGAAGCCTGCAGAGCTGTACTAATTTTAGTAAAAATAATCATATGCCAACAAGGGAATGGATCATTTTCTAACTCATCCCTTCAGATACTGGGTAAGTGGTCAAAAGCCTGTTTTTATAATTACTTTCATTATCTTGGCCAAAAAGTCTATCTTATCTTTGGTCCTTAGGAGTGATATTAGTTTCTTCAATTTTTATGTGTTACATAATAATTCTTTTTTTCTTTTACTTTACATCAATAACCAAAGTGCAGTATAAACATGAGGCTGCTGATATTGTTGCCTTTATACACATTCAATACCAACATCTTCCAGACATTTTATATTAGGCTATACAAAAGCATCCAAAAGAGTTAATAATTATCCTAAATCATCACAATATAATTTCAAGGCTGAGTAAGATACAGTAAAGCCAGGTATTACATATTAAAGAAAAACACCTAGACCAACATTTAAAATACTGGTCTCTTAAATATACATTAAAGTCCCATTAACAGAACATATTCTAATCATTAAAACAAACCAAAAGCTAAGCAAATTAATTTAAAAATAAAAATTTCTAAATGATGAATATAATCATGCTGTTTATACAACCATAAAGCATAATTTGGAAACTAACCTGCATAACAGAATGCTCTATAACACAATGACAGAATCATTTATCATCAGTTGATCTGTGTCATTTAAAAAAACAATTGCCTTCCACCTCCCACCCACCCCCAAGTCTCCATTTGATCTATATTTTAACCATTATTTTTTTTTAATTAAAATTATTTTTTAAACCATCTAATTTGTGGTGACTGACACAATATTGATAAAACTGCCTTCCTGCCTTTCCTCCTGTTCTCCAAAAGAAGTGGTTTAAACAATTACACAAATTCTCCAAGAGCTTCTGCCGGGGCTCAGGCATCACAACACAAAATCACTACCTTACATAACAACTGCTTTCCAGGGTCCTTAAGCATTAAGTGGTTCAGTGAGAGGTTCTGTCCTAGGGGTATTCTCAGGTTTTCTCCTCTGGGACTCCTGTCGTCTTTCAGTGAACATAACAACAAAGTCAAGCAGGAACATAAAACTTGCTATAAATCCAAACACCTGAGGAAAAAGGGGGAAAGGTTCTATGAGGAATTTTGGAATATAATCTCACAAGTTCTACTTGGCTCTGAGAGTGCTTCATAAAAGCAAGATGTTCATCAATTTTACCTTATACACACTACTTTTAATGGTAAAAAAACATTTTAAAGTCATCAAAAAATGGCAAGTTATAAAAGAAAAACTTCCAGAATAATGGCTATTAGTCAAAGTCTCACAAAATACAAATATGTGTGCATGTGTATGTGCATAATGCTAATCTACGAAACTAATATTAGTAGATGAAAATTAAATCCTATAAAATGATACAAAACACAGGATTATTAGCAACAGTTAGAATGACCCACAGACGTGATACCAGAAATATGTGAGTAGGCAACTCAGCCTAGGCGAAAATGGACAAAAAGAAATTTCATCTTGAAGATACTATTGGGTTAAATTACCTAAAATACATTTTCCAGTTAATTGTCACATTGTAATGACACAGTGACATGACACCACTACCTACTTCCTCTTCCTTAAATCACTTCCTCATTTACTCTTCTGACATATGATCAAACATTCTGAGAATTTTGTCAAGAGACAGAAGACCATATTTCAAATTTAGCTACACTAGCAAAACCCTTAAAAAAATGGGCGCCAAAGAAGTGCTCTGTAAAGAAAACTGATGTAGGTGATAGCTCAAGTCTCTCCCAACTCTGACACTCCACCTCCATGATTTTTAACATTCTGTTACAGTCTGTTGCAGTTTCCTGACCCTTCCCCTCCCCCTTCCCCCAAAGACTATGCCTTCTGCCTCATTTCACCATATAGTAAACTGAGCTCCAAATTCATTAATTCACCTGGATGTCCCCAACATATCCAGCCTAAATTTAATTATCAATTCACCCTCAAAACCAAAGTCTTTCTCCCCTGTAGAGTCTTTACTTGGGCTTGATAGCATCTATCCCCTTATTTTCCTAGCAAACTTCTTGAATACTTCAAATGCAGACCTTGTCTATGAAGCTGTCACCACCTCAGAGAGCCCCAGTCCATATAGGGCCCTCTATACTATCTATACAATCCAGACAAGAGATCTTCCAGCTCTTTTGCTCACATACTTCCCAATTTTTTCTTGAAAAGTGAACTCCCTCACTCCTTGAAGTCTATAAAACTTTTTGTAATTTAAATAGTTTCAAAGGGTAATTTCCAGCATATTATAAATACTGACTTTTTAAACTATCATTCACTATTAAATATGGCCAATGAAATCTAAATACTGTAACAATCTAAAACATCATCTAATTAAAACATATAAACAAACTCTTTCTAATAGCTGGGAATTTTTTCCCCTAGAACTAATTTTTCTTCAACTTCATTTCACTTCCCCCACAGATTTTTATAGTAACATATTTTTATACTCCCATTGTATCAATCACCATATCATATTCCTCTGCAACAAAAATATGTGTATAAACTGAAATTAACCATAAGATCTTATTAAAACTTTGATTTTTCTCTTCAATTTGTTTATGTACTCATGGATAAATATTACTTATTGCTAGAATGAATCAACGTTCAGCATTGATGTTACTGCGATGTTTTCTTTTCAACACACGTAAGTGCAAAGAAAATGTAGTCACATGAACAGGTAGATACATTGTAGCCATGTAATCTCTGAACTCCTTTTGAGTTGTTGTATCATAAAAGTAGTTTTAATGATCTATTAGCTGATGACTCTATTAATTACAACTTCAATTTCCTAAAAACAAAGTATTAATTGGAAACCACCTGATTTACAAGAGGATTTGTTATCCAGTTATTAGGCATTCAAGTTCACAACACTGATACCACTCCAGGTCCATGATCCTTGATTTGCAATTCTGAAACCCAAAAAGCTACAAAAACCTCAAAGTTTTCATGATTTATTTGACTCAAAATTGACATGAAGTAAGACTATTTACAGTCTTCACTTATCCGTTTTACTATAAATATTCATGTTTTGTTTCAGAAATACGTTGGATTACAGGGTCTGCCCCAGGCCCTCAAATGGTATTGTATAATATTGTAAATGCACGGTATTACCTTTCCAAATCCAGGATGTTTTGAATTCTAAAAAAAATTAAAAATCTGTCGCCAAGGATTTCAGATAAAAATTGAATTTTTATTTTCCTTTTGTTGTACTCAAGGGTTTTTTGTTTTGTTTTGTTTTACAACTCAGGGCAATGTACCATAGTAAGACTTGGGACAGGCGAACACATTTTTCTTATTTCTTCGTGGGGGGGAGAGGGTGACTATGAAAGGGAAGATGGGAAAGAACTGGCGAGACTCCTCCACCAAGATGAATTCTCAGACATACTAGTTTTAAGACGGACTACATATGGAGATTATAAAGTTGAAAACTGATTTCTTCAAAAACTATCGCTCCTAGTACTCCTTGGAAAGTCTTGATGAACTACCCACTGAAACTGCTGTCTAGACCAACTTCTGTTGGTTCATTTGACGTACTCCATTACAATTTATTTACCTATCTCCTTTACTAGACTCAACCTTTAAGTCATTTCTCCTATGTATTCTCTCTTTCTTTTTTTAATAGAGATGGGGTCTTGCTATGTTGCCCAGGCTGAAGTGCAGTGGCTATTCATAGGTGCAATCACAGCCCACTATAGCTTGAAATTGCTGGGCTCAAGAGATCCTCCCACCTCAGCCTCCCCAGTAGCTGGGACTGCAGGCATGTGCTAATGTTCCAGGCTCTCCTGTGTATTTTCTACACCTGGAACAGCACCTGGCATGTGGGTGTGCTTTTGTTTGAACTGAAAAGTAGAGAAATGTAAGATACTAAAGTCAATTTTACTACTTCCATGAGCAGTATAACATGTTTATATGTGGAGTAGATGGATTTTTGTTAACAAAACTCAAATTCTAGACAGGTTCTAGGTTTTTAAGGCTATCATATTTATTTGCTTTTAGGTCTTCTATTCAAAATTACACTAAAAAATAAGTTGAAAGACAGCATGTTGTATAACTTGTCAAGTACTTTCCAAATTCCATATTTCTAAATAAACAAAAATAAGCAGAGTTAAAAATACAAAGTACTTACAATTGCAGCATATTCAGCTGCGGTCTTGTCATGCGTGGAAACAAAAATGATGGATGCCAGCAAAAATAAACATCCTGTTGCCAAAGTAATGTAAAAATCCTGTGCATACATATAAAACACATAAGGAATACAGTATGGTTAGATTCATGGAAACAAATGGTTTAATTTTAAAAGGCTTCAATAACTTTTTCTCTTGACACAATCCAAACTTACATACCCCAGCTTCTAACTTTTTGGCATTCAATACATACCCTGTAAAGAAACACTATCTACACTTTGCGCTGGGCGTATTGAGAGAGTACATTACAAAATAATCATTTAATAAAAACAGTCCTCCAAAAGGTCATGTGTGTGTGCCCTCTTTCTCTACAGGATGTATTAAAATTATCAAAGTCAAAGCATTTATTACAGTTCCATCTTACTTTCAGCAGAAAAAGCATTTTTCTTTTTTTTTTTTTTGAGGCAGAGTCTCACTTTGTTGCCCTGGCTAGACTGAGTGCCATGGCGTCAGCCTAGCTCACAGCAACCTCAAACTCCTGGGCTCAAGCAATCCTACTGCCTCAGCCTCCCAAGTAGCTAGGACTACAGGCATGCGCCACCATGCCCGGCTAATTTTTTCTATATATTTTTAGCTGTCCAATTAATTCATTTCTGTTTTTGGTAGAGATGGGGTCTCGCTCTTGCCCAGGCTGGTCTCGAACTCCTGAGCTCAAACAATCCGCCCGCCTCGGCCTCCCAGAGTGCTAGGATTACAGGCGTGAGCCACCGCGCCCGGCCGGAAAAAGCATTTTTCTTTCCTTACAAAGTATTCTATGCTAGCCTGGCATCTCTGAGAGTACTTCTGTGCTCTGAAAGCAGTTTGGAAAAGAGAGAATTAAAAAAAATCACCCATCATTAACTAAATACAAATATGCCAAGTGTTTTTTACACACGTAAGCTTCCTGGAATAATATATTGCCTTCAAGTGTTCCAAGTGGGTAATCCAAAATGAGCTTGTATGATGAGCTTATCTACTACATAAAAGCTACCACATCTCATCATAATGCAGCTTTCAATGCTGAGATGCTTCATGGGTTTCCAAGTGCTCTCACAGGCCTTACTTCATAAGGCTCTCATATGCTAACTGAAAACTGTCACTTACATACTTAATTCAGAGGAGGAACTGGTAAAATGATAGCCACTTCAAAGTGTTTTAAGCCTGACACTTTTTGAGTTTTCTGAAATACAACCTCCAACTAAACCTAATATCAATAAAACTATCCAACACAGAATTCTTATACGGTCAATCGTTCACTTAATACTTATAAAAAATTTAAGAAGTTTTCTCTTTGCTTCTAAAAGAGATGTTTTTCTGTGGTACTTTCTCCATTTTTTATTTTTTTGATTATTTCAAATCTGTTACATACAAATATAAAACTCTATTCCCTAATATTTGGAGTACACTGAAGGAGGTATTTAAATAAGACAATCACCTTGAGACAGAATAATGCAGTGAGTGCTCAATAAACATGAGGTCTAGAGCCAGATTACCTGAGTAATTCCCGCCTCTACCACTTCCTAATGATGTGACTTTCAACTAGTTACCTCATGTCTTTGTGCCTCTGTTTCTTTACCTGCAAAATGGGAATAATAAAACTATCTTCTTCAGAAAGTGATTCTGAAGATTAGAGTTAATCCATGGAAGGTACTTACATCAGCGCCAGGCATATAGTAAATGTCCCACAAATGGCCACATCAAGAACTGTGTGTATGTTCTCATCATATGCTTGATGGATTTGATTCAGACACTCAGACTCCATTTGTTTTTCAAAGTTATTTTTAACTGTTTGGCATCAACTTTTATTTTTTAATTTTTTAACTTAAAAAATTATGTTCATTATTTCATCTGTCATCCCTCAAATCCAAACCACACTCAAATAAAAACACAGGGTCAGCAGACTAAGTCTTTAGAAAGTTAAGCATTTAGACTCCCAAGTACAATTTTATAAGGAAATTTCTGAACAAAGGATTCAACAATGCATTCTTAATTTACTTATGGACAACTTTTTTTCATAATCAAATCAAAGCAAAATATAGGTAAAACTGTCGTCTTATTTAGAAGCTCCAGAAATATCTCACATTAGTTCATTTCTCTATCTCCAGTATCTAGTATAATGCTTTGCATGTAATAGGCACACAATCAATAATTGTAAAACCAATAAGTGACATTCTGAAATGTGAGAAATCAAAAGTGACAAAGTCCTAGGTTTTTTTTTTTTTTTTTTTTACAGTCAAATGTGAATTAAATTAAACCACCAATAATTGTGAATTATTGGCAGTGTTTGTCACTCTCATTCCAATCTCACTTTCCCTATCATCCCCTTGGCAAAAGAAACTGAGTTGCTTAGAGGCAGAGAGTTGGAACAATGGATAGTGTCTTTTTTGTGTTGCTGAGTTTTGAAAGCATTACTACTTTGAACAACAAAACTATGCAAGATTACAAAATCGCTATGCACTTAATATAGGGACTACATCTTTTCACACTTACCAATAATTTTACTTTGTTGGCATCAATTCTGTCATAAATGGGAGTGCAATACACCACCAACATAAGGAGACTCAGAAGAAGGGCACTGCAGCTTACAAATTCAAAAATGTAAAGTCCTCCGCACAAAGTACACTGTGATACAATTTCTTCACAGATAAAGGCCAGCAGAGACAGCAACTACAAAAGAAGCAAAACACTATATTTAAGTGTTTTTTAGAGAACCTACAGAATTCAGATAGCATCTGTTTACTCAAATGTTTATAACATGGAAACTATGGCAAACAAGATTAATGAATAAACCCTATCTACACAGAATTTACAGTTTGGCTGCCTTGAAGGAAACACAGGTAAACAAATAATTAACTAACGTGTGCTAAATGCCAAAACAAGGGAAATACAGGGTGTTGTTATAAAAGCACACAGGAGAGGCATTCAAATTGGGGGTCAGGAAGGGCTTCCTGAAGGAAAGCTGAGACCTGAAGGACAGTAGGATCGGTTTTGGAGGTGAGAGACAGGGAGAGAAGTTCCCGGCAGAGAAGCAATATATAGAAAGGCCCAGAGGTAGGACAGCACAGCACTCCCTCACGCACACATACACACACACCCCACTACTACCCCAATTGAACTGTGAAAGTGAGTCAAATCAACATGGCTGAAGTGTAGAGTTTCAGGGATGGGAATAGCAGAACAAAAATTATTATGAGGCTAGAGAGGTAAGCTGAAGCCAGATCTAAACGTCCTCATTAACTAGTTTAAGGAATCTGGATTTTAAGAGTTGTAAAGTAAAGGAGTGACATGATCAGCTTTATGCTTTTAGTAGTTCTTGCTGGCTAGATATGGAGAAGGAAACGCAGGTAGGGGAAAACTTGGGGCAGACATCCAGCTGGGAAGCTGATGTAGGAAATAGGGGAAAACACAGTGGCCAGGGCGGTAGTAATGAAGAAGAGTAGCTAATCACCGAAAGATGCAGTAGAAGCTCTTATCAGACAGGCTGAGTACAAATAAAGTGGGACATGAGATAATACATATGTACTTTAAACACTTTATTTAACATAAAAGAAAAAGGCACATTTATTCATCAATCTTTTGAAGTGGGTCTTTTGAGTATGGGTCTACTGACTGGAATTCCACATCATGCTTTCTGCCTTAATCATTTTCACCATCATCTACCACTTCCAGATGGATGTGATTTGAAGCAGAGTGAGGTCCTGGACACTTGAGAAACAAAGTGCATACATAACCTTTCTACAGTCAGTCTAGTTTTACTAGCCTTGTATAGCTGCCTTGCTCTTATTTAATTCCACAGCAGATAAATATTTCAGTAACTTATCTTTCAGTCTTTCCAAAGCATTCAATTTAGTTTCCATAGAAACAATTCCTTTTCACACTCAATTTTAGTATGTGTAATATTTAATTAAATGTTTGACCATAAAAGTGTAGTTAGCATAGATCGCTATGGGAATACCACCACTCAACTGATGACAGGAGCGAGAGTGCTGGAGCACTAAGGAGGCACCTACTGGCCATGACAGGCTGTGGGTGTCAGGTGTGGGGTGAGGATGCTTAGCATGGTGAATGGAGAATGTTAACTCTGGTTAATGGGCAACCCAATTAAATGCAGATGGGTTTTAACAACACTCCCACTGATGTATACGTGGTATTAACATACTGGTTCTCATGATGAAAGAATCAGGTTTTTTTCTTTTTCTTTTTAACAGGCAAGGATGTTGGGGAGAGAATGGATTCCTTTTTAAATGCGCTGTGATTGAGGGGGTCGGTGGAAGAGTTAGATGGAAAGGTAGCTAGGAGGCAAATGAATATATAGGTCTGGAGCTCAGGGCTCAGGGGAGCAGTTTGAGATGCAGATAAAGATGTGGGAGGCAGCCAAGTAAAATGATGAGATCACCCAGAATAAGGAAAGTTGGCCTTATGCAGAACTCGGAGGAATCCCAAGATTCAAGGGATATACAGAGGAGGAAACACCAGCAAAAAAACAACTAGGAACAGCAAGCCAAAGGGGTAGCAGACAAGAAAAAAGTATTTCCACAAAAATAGAGGGATCAAGAGTGAGTGCTAAATGCTACTTAGAGGTCAAGTAGGAACAACACTGAAACACCTACATTAGACTGAGCTATGAGAAGGTTGCTGGTAACATCAGCAAGAAAAACTCCAGCATAGCCAGGTAGAGAAGCTAGATTAGAGTACTGCATATTGGGAAGTAAGGAAGGACAAGGCAGTGGAGCATGGATAGCACAGTCAAGAAGAGTGGCTGGGGCCGGGCGTGGTGGCTCACGCCTGTAATCCTAGCACTCTGGGAGGCCAAGGTGGGAGGATTGCTCAAGGTCAGGAGTTCAAGACCAGCCTGAGCAAGAGTGAGACCCCATGTCTACTAAGAATAGAAAGAAATTAGCTGGACAACTAAAAAAAATATATAGAAAAAATTAGCCAGGCATGGTGGCGCATGCCTGTAGTCCCAGCTACTTGGGAGGCTGAGACACGAGGATTGCTTGAGCCCAGGAGTTTGAGGTTGCTGTGAGCTTGCCTGACGCCACGGCACTCTAGCCCGGGCAACACAGTGAGACTCTGTCTCAAAAAAAAAAAAAAAAAAAAGAGTGGCTGGGAGAGAGTGGCCAGATAGGGTAGCAGTGGATGATGTTAACGAAAAAGGAATTTCATGCTGGGAGAGAACTGAGCATGTTTAAATGCTTAGGTAGAAACTAATAAGATGAGTGGGTCTAAAGACAGAGGTAGAAAAAAAGGCTCTCTAAAGAGAGGATTCAGGGCTCAGGTTTGGGGCTAATTCTTCTCTAGAAATAGGAGGGAAGAGAGTGGTTCATTTGGGCAGTTTGTGTTGGTTTTGTGGAAGCTGAGGGAATTTCCTTCTGAGTGCCAAAACCATCAAAATGACTGATGATCCAAGTCAATGGCTAAAGGGAAATGCCATCTCACCCCAGTCAGGCCAAATGGCAACAAGACTGCTACCAAAATTAACAGATAGACTTCATAGTATATAATCTGATCCTACAAACATCTGATCCTACAAAACATTTTCCAGAAGAAGTCAATGATATAGCCACTCTGAAAAAGTTTAGCAGTTTCTTAAAAAACTTAGCATGCATCTACCATATGAGCCAGCAACCGCACTCTTGGGCATTTATCCCACAGAAATGAAAACTATGTTCGTGCCAAAACTAGTACATGAATGTGTATAACAATTTTATTCATGATGGCCCCAAACTAGAAACAACCCAGATGTCCGGCAATGGTTAAACTACGGTACATCCATACCACGGAATATTAGCAATAAAAATGAACAAACCTGACACGCAATGACCTACATAAATCTCCAGAGAATTATGCAAAGTAAAAAAAATCCAATCTCAAAAGGTTACATACTGCATGAATCCAATTATACAGCATTCTCTGAATAACAAAAATTACAGCCATGGTGAACAAGTTGGTGGTGGCCAGGGAAAGTGGGAAGGCGTGGCTATAAACTGGTAGCACAAGGAAGCCCTGTGTGGATGGAACAGTTTAGTATCTTGATTGTAGCGATGATTATGGGAAGCTATACATGGGATAAAACTGCACAGAAACACACGCACACACACACACACACACACACACACACACACACACACACACACGAGTGCATGGGACCTCCCTGTACATTTTTTTACAGCTTCCTGTGAATCTATAATTATTTCAAAATAAAAAGTAAAGAAAAAAAAGCTGTCATATCTAAATTGGTATCCAAAGCCTCTAAGGGATTTCCCCTCCTCCTACTGGCAATAAAAAATTCATATATATCCCCACAACTGCAACTTAAAAGAATTTATATAAGGATGAAAATAGATCCTATCCCTCTGATTTCCCATAAGTTAGTGAGGCATGACATAGCCCAGCACATCCCAAATAACTTCCCTCAAACAGATGTTAGATGAGACATTCCCAATCATTGCCCCATAGGATATAAAGTGACAAGACAAATCCCAGGTCACTGTGTAGAGGTACTTCCTCAATCTCCTATAATTATAATTATAGGATGAGTTTTTACATGACTACAGTATAATAAAATACTAAATGTCTAATATTCCACTTGCTTTACTCTTGCCTCTATGTTAAATCTTACCCAAGTTTTAAGAGTTTCTCTATGAGAAATTCTCAAAATATACCTCAGGTATATAAAGTCAATTAACTGTGAGAAGATGCCAGCCCAAAACTCTAATCGGGGTTTGAGAATAGTTGATCTTGAACCTTTTTGGGGGGGGCGGGAGGGTGCTACAGGCACATGCCACCATGCCCAGTTAATTTTTTTTTCTACTTTTTGTACAGACAAGGTCTCATTCTTTTTCCATGAACAGGGGTTGGGAAAGTGAAGGGGGTCAGGGGTAGGGGGTGGTGGGATGGTTTCAGAATGACTCAAGCACATTACATTTATTGTGCACTTTATTTCTATTATTACATTGTAATATATAATGAAATAATTATACAGCTCACCATAATGCAGAATCTAATGCTGATCTGACAGGAGTCAGAGCTCAGGCAGTGACACAAGTGATGGGGAGCGGCTGTAAATACAGATGAAGCTTCCCTCACTTGCCTGCCGCTTACATCCTGCTGTGTGGCCCGGTTCCTAACAGGCCACGGACTGGTACCAGTGCATGGCCCAGGGGTTGGGGACCACAGCTCTAGTACAAAGTATATTTGAATATTATATATCCAACACTGTAATATGTATAGGAACGAGTAATGATGGAGTAACAAGAACAATGTACAAGAAAAAATAAAAAAACAATATATTTTATACCACGTAATTGAGCATTCCTTATAAGTAAGTTTAGAAAATCTCAGGAAAATATTCAGAGTAGCTGGAGAAGGATGAATGGAAAAGCAGGACTCAAACCAGGGTCGCGAGACACACAGAATTTGGACAGGCAGAGGACATTCCAGGTGGGTGATGAAAAAGAACAGATTCATAAAAGCAAGAATTTGCATGGTAAGTCCAAAAGATAATAAGGCAACTGACCTAACTGGATGGAGATAATGAAAAAAAATGGTTAAGGAGTTGGGTGTGTTTATGTAATGATTATGCAAGGGAATACGGACTTCTAGATGAAGGCAGCAGGAACATCTGCGTGATTTAGTAGGTTAGAAGACAGGAGGAGCAGAGGGTT